TAACTTACATCTCAATAAACTTATAAATCTTATAGATCATTGATGTAAAATTATTTCTAACCTCTTCCTTATTATTATTTTGTTATATAAAAAAGTTTTTTTTTGTATTTTGACCAATATTTCAATAAAATTTAATTGAACTGGGTTTGAGATCGGTTATTTAACACTAATATTGTTAATAAGTAACACTTACGGACCTATTCTGTGCACTTGATAGATTTGTCAAATTCTTTAATAAAATTTTTGATTTTTATAAAGCAGAAAGCTTTTTGGTATTCTGGACACATCTTGACAAATTCCAAAGCTCAAGTACCTAATGCTTCTCACCACACTATGGTGTGAAATGTTTTGTATATAAAACTGTTCGTAACTGTTCGTAATTGTTCGTAATTGTTCGTAAAAAAGAGCATATATTTTAAATTGTCGAAAGCATTTTTCATACATTCAAATCACAATAAAAAAAATGCTTGTAAGGAGCGTATATTTTAATTAAAATATATGTCATGCATGCAAATAATAAAAAATGCTTAAAAAGAGCATATTTTTATAGTTGTCAACAGCATTTGAGGTATTGACAACTAACAAGGAAAAGAGCTTTTTATTTATGTCATAGAATACCAAAACCTTTACAGCAGTCAATTTTGACAAATGTCAATGTTTGACAATTTTATAAAGTGCACAGAATAGATCCGTTAGTAAGTTTTGTTTAAACTTTTAATATAATTAAAAAAAGAAATAAAGTATGGCGTTGAGTGAGTTGGTAAAGGTGCGCTGACTCTGAGCTTCAAATTTGGCAGGACACGGGTTCGATTCCTGGTACTTGCAGTTAAAAAAAAAAAGAAGTTATTTACGAATAATTAAATACAAAAGAATTATTTCCAAGACCACTGATGATGATGGGTCTTGAAATTAATTAAAATTATATATAAACGAATTTTTGTTGTTGTAATTTCACTACTTTTCGAAATCCTCTTTATATTTTAAAAATTTATTTAAGCAAACAAATTTATTTATTTTATTATTTTTAATTTATCAATTCTAAAAAAACCATTCCGTTTAATATAATTTTTCTTAACCCACTAAATAAAGTATCACTATTTTCAAATATTTTTTTTTATTTATTTGCAATCCAAAATGCAATCCGTCCCTGTAGCAAAGTAACTGTTTCTTCAAAACAACGTGTTTTCTTAACTGATTTCAGATCAAAGCTTTTTAACCAAATTCGAAGGAAAAAAATGTGAGCAGCTCAGCAGCTTGGCAGCTTGGCGGTTGTTTATTTTTGTTTTTGTTTTTGTTTGTTTGTTTGTTCGGTTGTTCGTTGTAGTCTGAACGTGGCTGTCGGGCTCCGGTGCAGAAAAGGCCAAAACGGGTTCTGCTCATAAATTGTGCCGGAAATTTGAAAGTTAAATACTAAAGAAGCGTGAAATTCTGTTATTGTTTGCAGTTGTTGTTGTTCTATTGTTTCAAAAGTTGTTCTTGGTAAAATTATTTAAGGAAAGAAAAAAAAAAAACGAAAAAGCCTTTACTATAGTGTATAGTGTATTGGCGACCTTGGAGCGGGAATATTAACGTATTTCTTCTTTTACTTTTTGTCTTTTTTTTGCTAATTAATTTCTTTTTTATTTTCGCTTGATTTTTTTGCATTTTTCTTTTGAATTGTTTTTATTTAGTTAATGCCGCTTTATAGACCAGAACGTTGACTTTATGGACATAAAATATGTTCACTCACAGTCACACTCATACATGTACACATATACACATATACACAATCAGTAATCACACTTATCAACTGTGTATTTAACGGTTAATGCAATATAACTTTATTGATGCATATGAAGTATCACTATCATTTATATGATATATTAATATATTTTATTCATATATGTATGTATGCATGTATGTATGTCTATATTTATATTTTGATTTTATTTTTTACGCTTGGAAACATTTTATTTGATAAGATAATACAATGAATGCTACTCAAATGCAGTCCGTAAGAGTCGAGATAAAAAGCCTCAATAAAGAGAAACAGACATCACTTATAACATTAAACTTTTATATGTATAAGATGCTAAATATACATATATTGTATAAATAAAGTATCAGGAATTTTTTTTTGATATAAAAAAATGTATTAACATTACTTTAGTAATATTCATTTCCCGCCAACAAAGTAGCTCCTATTTTATAACAAATGCATATTTTACAAACAAACAGCATAAGACTCGTAGTCAATAATTTTGGTTACAGAGTGGGTTTTCAAATAATTTCAGTAATGAAATAAAAAATGTTATCTATAGCCAAATAATTAGACCAGCATTACTTTATGGGTGTGTCGCGTATAGCAAAGCTGCTGAGTCTACTATCCAAAAGCTACAAGTTGCTCAAAGTCAGACTCTCCGAAGGCTCTTTAAAGTACCATGGTACATCCGCATGAATGACATGCTAAGAGTCCTTAGAATAGATCCGGTCAAAAAATACATATGGGATAGAGCTCTGAAGCTATATGCGAAAACCGACAGGCTGCCCTACTTAGCACTATCTAATCTCAGAGTAATCACTAACCGCACGGGGCGGTACGCAGATCTTAGATTAATCATTGAATAATCATGAAGATTATCAGGAATACTCAAGTTAGTCAGTGAGATGGGCGAGACTATGCAGAATCCCCCCAGCTATCATAGTGTAAAAGTGCTCAGATGCACTAACTCGGAAAAGGCTTAACATAATAATAATTAATAGTCAGGGTACATTAATATGGTATAGTTGGAACAGGAATAGGCATAGGTTCTAAAAAAAGCATATGACATGAATAGTCAACAAGTATGGGATCCTTTCCGAAGTAAGGCAAACGTGGTCCCGTGGTGTAGAGGAGGTGTTTCCCTTACCTTGTACTACACAGTAGAAGTCGGGCACACGATTCCAGCAACGGTTGGTTTAACGGTTCATAAAGCATTTAACCTTCTTACCAGTAAAAAAAAAAAGAATGGAATATACATACATATGTATAAATATTTTCATTATTATTGTTAAGGGATGTGGCACTACGACCATTAGGTCTACTGTACCCCCTTCTGGGTTTAGAGTAGGTCTCTATGCCCTGTTACGTCAATGGAAAGTAGTATAGAACTTACTTTACAGTCTTATTGCCTCTTCTACTGTGTATAAATATAGTTCTTTGATTATTTTTTTAACAAAGTATGGTATCTTCCGCTATAACATTCTGTCTGTTAGATGAATTTTTCTTTATGGTTTGAATCCAGTTAAAATGGGTACTTTTAACTGCTGGTGAAACGCTATTTAATATGGTATAGTATTTTTTATTTAACTTGCCAATTTTGTAAGCGCAAATGTAGAGCAATAAATGAATGTTGTATGGTTAACCTATCTGAACAAACTTGGGCGGATGAAAACTCCAGTCAGATATCAAGATTGATCTAGCCAAAGTGAACAAGTTTCTGGTTGAAGCCTAACCTGCTCAGCACTATAATATCGGTGCTGACATATTTTTATTTGATTTATTTGAAAAATGTGTTAAGTGAAAATCCTTTTCTTGCATTATCTTAACATAGAACTAACTTAAAAACTAACAAAAAAAAGAAAAAAATAAGATATACACAATAAATAAAATTATTAAATTATCAAATTATTAAATAATAAAGCAAAAAAATATATGTGTCAGTTTTCCATTGGCTACGGAAAATACAAAATCGGCGGGGTCCCTTTTCTAACCGACCGGTCTGACCCATCATTCTTTAAAATTAGGGACTTTTCTAAGTTTATAGGCTTGTCAGGTTGATTCACTGGAATGAGACACTATTGTCTTTCAGTGTTTTTCGTACGTTGACAATTGCAAACCACAACGAGGCTTTATTTGAGCTCAAGTTTAATTTCATTTTTAAAGTCACCACTCTAACGTAATTTTACTATATATACACTAACTAATATCCTATAAAATACTATGTCGAAGGTCTCGGTAAAAGAATCTCTCTGGAAGTACTCAAGTTAACAAAACTGTTTCGAGATTGTACACACAATCTATAGTGAATTTTTAACAAATAATATTCTGAACAATCGCTTCACAAGTTTTCCAACAGTTCATTTCAAACAACTAATTTTAGTTTTATTATTATTAATTTTACCATCAGCAGAAATTAAACCACAGATTAGATGTCTATTGTTATCTGCTTGTTTTTAAGTAATTCTATATTTTATTATAGATGATATTTTAATAATACTATAAATGCGTTTGTCTTCTATCAGTTAATAATTGCAAATTGCGTTGAATTTTATTTAAAAATTCATCACTCCAATTTAACCTAACCTAACCTCTCTGTAACTAAATTGAAATAGATTCTTAGATGTATGTATTTCAATATTATCATTTGGGTATATAGTTAATAGTAAGTTTTAGTCTGCATAACAGTTGACTTCCCCACAAGTCTTTCATCCATGAAAGTTCTTCAGTTTCTAATGTCTTTCTTCTCTAAGTCTGCTTCGATGTCTTCAAGCGATCTTAATAATGCTCATCCTCTTTTTTTTAATAATATATAGATGAGCAAGCGTAATTTTAGGTTGCATTGTTGCGGATTTCCTTTTGGGTGTTTGTTTGATTCATACCAGTTTTCGGGATTTAACAATTTTAACAACATTTTCACTGTCTGTTACATCCTCGATTTTGTCAATTCTGTACTCGCTATTCCCCTCTAATTTTGTTTTAATCCATTTCTTGTTTTAGCTCCATTTCTTTATCAACTTCAGTCAATATCCAAGCTTCCAAGCTGTAGAATAGTATTAAGCAGATGCTTTATTAAGTATTATAAGTAAGTATTATTAAGTGTAAGAATATAAATCTTACACAGGTTTTGTGTGTATTCTAAATTTGGAATTTAAGCATAATTTTTAAAATCTAATGATTGAAAAGACAGAACAAAAACAAGTTGTAGCATCGAGTTGGAACAGCCTGTCATTTTTGATTCCATGAAATAATCATGGTATAAATGTCTGTTATACCAAAAACTCCTTCAAATTTAATGTCTAAGGTTAAAAATGCCTGATCAAAAAATTTATAGCAGCACTTATTAGTGTTATGTTTTATTTTATATTTATATATGTTTTTACATATATTATTATATATATAAATATATACATCATATTGTTATGTTATCTATAATATCAATATAAATTCAAAATTCTGTGTAAAGGTTATCTAAGGTTGGGAAAGCCAGAACTAATATCTCTACTTGTTAATATTTATTTTTAACATTATTGTTATATCTTAGTAACCATATAATTTTACGATTCATTTCAGATAACTGAAGCAACAAAAGCTATAACACTCAATGCTTCAGATATAGACATAAAAAGTGCAGAACTTATCATTGGCAATGACACAGTTGCACCAATAGGTATTACTTATTCCAACCAAAATGAGACGGCTTCCTTGTATTTTGCGAAGGAATTACCAGTAGGAGATTCTGCCCTTTTGACAATGAAGTTTTCTGGTGAATTGAATGATAAAATGAAAGGTTTCTATCGCAGTAAATATTTCACGCAATCTGGTGAAGAGCGTTACGCAGGCGTAACACAATTTGAAGCCACCGATGCACGCCGTTGTTTCCCATGCTGGGACGAACCTGCTATTAAAGCTACATTTGATATAACATTAGTTGTACCAGCAGATCGTGTGGCATTATCTAATATGCCCGTCATAGAGGAAACAACATCTTCAGATGGCTTGCGTCGCTTACGTTTTGATCGTACGCCTATTATGTCAACTTATTTGGTAGCTGTAGTTGTCGGTGAATATGATTATGTAGAGGGGAAATCTGAGGATGGAGTTATTGTACGCGTTTTTACACCAGTCGGCAAAAAGGAACAAGGATTGTTCGCTTTGGAAGTTGCAACCAAAGTTTTACCTTATTATAAGAGTTATTTTAATATCGCTTATCCATTACCAAAGATGGACCTCATTGCAATTGCAGATTTTTCTGCAGGAGCCATGGAAAATTGGGGTTTAGTCACTTATCGCGAAACATTTGTACTTGTAGATCCAAAGAATACTTCACTTATACGTAAACAGTCAATAGCTTTAACTGTAGGACATGAAATTGCACACCAATGGTTTGGTAAGAATATATGATGCTAAAAATAAACACTTTATAATAATATATTGATGATAATTGATGATAATAATATTGATAATAATTTTATAGGTAACTTAGTTACAATGGAATGGTGGACTCATTTATGGTTAAATGAAGGTTATGCTTCATTTGTAGAATTTCTATGCGTGAATCATCTCTTTCCGGAATATGATATATGGACGCAGTTCGTAACGGATATGCATACGCGTGCTTTGGAATTAGATTGTCTTAAAAATTCACATCCTATTGAAGTTCCAGTTGGGCATCCAAGTGAAATTGACGAAATTTTTGATGAAATAAGTTATAACAAGGGTGCTTCAGTTATACGTATGCTGCACGATTATATCGGAGAAAGCGATTTTCGTAAAGGAATGAATATTTATCTAACTCGTCATCAGTATAAAAATACCTGTACTGAAGATTTATGGGCAGCTTTACAAGAAGCTAGTTCTGTACCGGTAGCAGAAGTAATGTCAACATGGAGTAAGTTACAAGGTTTTCCAGTAGTTAGTGTCGATGCGATACAAAAAGATGATAATAAAATGGTATTGAAGTTATCGCAAAGTAAATTCACTGCTGATGGCAGTAAACCAGTTGAAGATTACACATGGGTTATACCAATTACTGTCTCTACATCAAAACATCCTGATAAAATTGCTAAGACTTTCTTGTTGAACAAAAAAGAAATGGAAGTTGTATTAGATGATGTGGGTCCAAATGACTGGATAAAAATTAATCCCGGTACTGTGGGTTATTACCGTACGCGCTATTCTAAAGAGATGCTTGAAAAATTAATACCTGCTGTAAGTAATATGGAGTTACCACCGTTAGATCGTTTAGGTTTAATAGATGATATGTTTGCTATGTGTCAAGCTGGGCAAACTAGTACAGCTGAAGTAAGTTAAAAAATCACATTAAAATTATATTAGTGATTTTTATAATCTTTATCTTAAAGGTACTGAAACTAATCGATTCTTATCGTAATGAAACAAATTATACAGTATGGACTGCAATTACAAACTCACTTTCAAATCTGTACATTTTAATTTCACATACTGAACTTATGGATTATTTCAATATATACGGTGAGAAACTATATCGGCCTGTTGCAGATCGTTTAGGTTGGGAGGCACGTGAGGGTGAAAGTCACTTGGATACGCTTTTAAGAAGTCTTGTGTTATCGCGATTAGTTTCATTCCGTTGTAAGGATGTTATTAATGAAGCTAAAAAACGGTAATAATAAATAAATATATTAATTAAAAACAATGACTAAATATACATATAATGTATATTTAATATAATGTAGATTCCGTAACCATATTGATGGCACCGCTTCTATTCCTGCCGATTTACGTTCAACTTGTTATAAAGCTATACTTCAGAATGGAGATGAGTCTAATTTTAACGAAATGTTGAAATTATATCGCTCAACTGATTTGCATGAGGAACAAGATAGAATATCGCGTGCCTTAGGTTCAATGTCAGATGTTGTACTTTTGCGTAAAGTTATTGATTTCGCTATGTCGGTACGTAAAAAAATATATTTTTATTCAAATAATTGTTCATAATAGTTGTTTTAATATTTCATAGAGTGAAGTTCGTGCTCAGGACTCTGTATTTGTTATTGTTGCTGTGGCGGTAAATCCAAAAGGACGAGATATGGCTTGGCAATTCTTTAAGGATAATAATCAGAAATTACTAGAGCAATATCAGGTATGCATTGACTAGTCTCACGTACATCAAATATAATTTAAGTATTAATAACTGGAGATACCATATAACAAACTTTCGTCTCAAATAGCAAATTTGCAATAGGAAAACCAAATTTTATTGTATCGCAGTATAAAAATATATTGATCTTATAATTCAGTTTAGCTGAAGGAACTGTAAAACATTAATTGGTGTAGTGACAGATCACTGTCTGGAGGCAAAGTAAACTCTGAAGCATCTGCTGCGTAAGTGACCGGCTCTATCGAGAACTCGACAAAAATACTTGGGGGCTGTCAGTTTTACAGGACTGGAGCACATATTTGAGATTTTTGTTGAAATTCTAATAAAATTTGCTAACAACACGCGCATCCTAAGTGGTGCACACTATTGTTAAAAATTAAAATTCTGATCTAGTTCGCAATAGAACTTAATGGTCTATGCTTGGCTATTTTGGTCTGCCAGCATAACCTAACCTAACCTATACTTCGATTTTATTACTAGTTCTTACACGATCTATATAATAATGATTTTACATAATAAATGAGCTTACTGTTTATCTACTATCTATCATTATTAGAAAATAGTAGATACAAGATAGAAAAGTTCAAATATATGCAGACATTTCTACGCAAGTTGCGCCCTTTTCAATAAGAAAAAATCATTCGATCTGATTATAACATTTTGGCTCGCACTAATATCACTTATATGGTTGAAATGTTGATACCCATCAGCATTAGCTTATACCTAACTGCTGATTTGTTAAGTAGAAATATATCTTTCAAGTTACTAAAGAACGACTTTCACTGTGATTTATATCTCCTTTATTCTTTTTATGAGTATGGTAGAAATCAGATTATATATTATTATATATTACAAATATATTTAATTATTTATTTTTTTAAAATTTTTCAGGGTGGTTTTCTACTTGCACGCCTTATTAAGTATTTAATAGAAAATTTTGCATCGGAAGAGAAAGCAATCGAAGTTGAAAAATTCTTCAAAACCAAACAATTCTCAGGAACAGAACGTACCGTCTCGCAAGCCGTGGAAACTATTCGTCTAAATGCAGCATGGCTACAAAGGGATCTAGATTCATTGACTGCTTATCTCACAAAGCAGTAACCAGTGACCAGCGACCAGTTTAATATTTATATAAGAGAGAAACTTTACTTACACCAAAGTTTGGAACATGAAATACAAATGAAATCCTGCATAAATTTCTTAGGGCCTTAATGTTAGGTGCACCAGATTATAATATAACTACCACGGACCAGTGAAATTTTTACACATATTTTGTATAAGCGCAAATTATTGTTTTATATATTTTGTGCTTGTTTGCTTGTTTGATAGCTTTAATATTTCTTATAAAAGTGTGTCTTGCATTAGTGGCTTTGACAATTTGCCTTTACATATTTTTCTTAAAATTTATTATTTAGTTTGCCATGTTAAAGTATCGTTAAAATATTTTAAAGACTTATAAAATAATAGCCTCGTTAAGATTTGTTGCAATTGTATCCATTGCATTTACATATAAATAATAAATATCATTAAAACTATAATAGCATTTAAAAGATTCACAAAAATATACATAAATAATCATGTATAGGTTCATTATATAAAAATTCATTATATACATAATTTATGTATACAAAAAAGGAACTTAATAAATAAATCGTTAAATGGCAAAACAATATAATCTTTATTGAATATTTAATTACTCTCTACAGCTTCAGCTTCGTGCAATTCATTGACCAGTTCCAACATTTTACGTTTGAACAAACGTTGACTAGATTTACTTAATGAGAGAATATCATCAACACTGCCACGAAAAAAATGCATTAATTGTGCTTCTGAACGTTCGTGATCTTCTCGTTTTATGCCTGTCAACTCTAAATCTTCCATGCTTGGACGGCTGTGTTGAATATTGTTTTCATTGGAATCTGAATACTCATGTGTTGGACTATTATTAATGTTAATGCAGGCTTCCGATAAGAACAGATCAACATTATCGCTATTTTTCTCTTCTCTTTGGGATTGCTGTTGGACTTCCTTTTTTATAAATTTTTTGTTATTATCTTTAGTTGGAAGAGTTTGTTCCAGTTCTTCGAGAATGTATTCGAACGAAGGTGGGTTTTTGTATAATTTTTCGCTGGAACTGTTGTCGTGTCCATAATATTCAGCAAGTGCAGCATAATCGTCAGGTTGCGCTGAATCTTCAGAGAACTCATAAGCATAAACTTTATCATCATTACTACATTTTTTACGTTTTCTGGTATGTTGAAGTGCATCAAGTGATGGAAGTAGAAATTTTATTTGGTCATATAAATAAAAGCGTTTTCGTCCAATAATAAGGCTGTTTTGCTCATCAGCTACTCCGCGTTGATTGCTATTGGATTGTAAGCTGCGTATAAATCCAGTGCGAACATTACGCCACTTTTCTTTGCAAAAGTGTTCTATAGAAAATTAAATTTAATATTAAACAAAAATTACAAGTAGAGTCTAAATTCTAATTGCTTATATTAAAAGAAATTTTATAATTTTTATAATAACATAAAACGTAACATAACGTTTACTTGCCTGCTTTTCCGACTTCGTCTGAGACATCTTGCCAAGCTCTTTCAAGTTTACAACGCTTTGAATAGTCATCATTATACACATTCCATAAACATTCACGTGCTTTAACCGCATTTATTATTTTAACAACCATTTCAATTTCCCCTACCATTTTTAAATAATTCTCGTTTTATATTTTCAAAACATAAACAAATGATTATCGCGAAATCACAATCACAACTAATACTGAGCAGGTGCAATTACAGTGCATTTAAAACTGTACGTTTATAAAAAGCCGCTGTACAAATGTATAAAATAGAATATATTATATTAGAATTGGATTTAATAAAATAATGATGTAACAAATATTAATTTACAATAACATATTATTTTAATTTAATAATAATTTTATTATAACTATATTTATATTTAATTTTGATAAATAAAGATCGTACGTATGTATTATAATCTAGCTATTGAGCTTTCTTATCTATCTTTGGTTACTAAAGTGAGATATATGCTATTAGTCCGTAATGAACTATATACCAAAATCCAGTTGCTATTCTGTAATCGTACATACTGTGGTATTGGTCGACTTAGAACTAAGTAAAATCCAAAAAGTATGAAAGCAACATTAGAACATGGTACATCGATTTTATTATTCTAGTTAAAATTGATCTACCAATATTAATAATTTAAAAGTAAAACGCGGGACTAAAAATATTCACTGTAAATTAAGAGATATATCGATTTTGTGTATTATTCACTTAATTTTATTTGCATCCAATAAGTAACCACAATAAAACTTTAGGTTTGATGCAGTCTGGCAACTATATAAGTGGCAACGATTTGTTTACTTATCAGCCATCATATGTTTCTGGTGTTTTGCGAATTTTCCATTTAGTTAATTTTTACAAAAAAAGTGAATTATAAAATATAATTATGAAAATCAAATAATAGTTAGTAATACGTGAAAAATGCAGTACGGCACAACAACGCAAAAGAATTTTTTGCACAAAGAAGTGAAGCTGCACAAATTGCACACGCACACAAAATCTTATAGTGGTTCGTATCTATTGTAAATCCTATTAATTTTTCCTTTTTAATAAAAATTTTGGTAATCCATAAGATGCTGATTTGGTGCTAAATCCAAAAGAACATCCTGATGTTAAACTGGGAGATGTGGTGGAAGTTTTTCACCGTGAAGATGAGGACTGTGGCAGTCGATTGTTGTTGCAGATAACAAAATTCAATGAAGGCGACGTGAGTTAATAAAGTTAAATTTTTTTAAGCAAAAAATATATTAATTGCGTGTTATAATATTTATAGACCAACTATAAAGGAATCAGTATCGAATCGGGTATAGCACAACAATTTAATCTTAGAAAATATACTGATGTAGTTATGCGCCTTGTGAATGCAGCAGACGTAGCATTAGATTCTATTGAAATTACATTCAAAGATCAGTATATGGGTCGATCTGAAATGTGGCGTCTTAAAACATATTTAGTAAGTATAACATACATATAAACTGTAGTAAATACTTATAATTATATATTGTGTTATTTTGTAGACAAATACGTGTGTTTATATAAATAAAAAAATTGATTTTAATGATATGCTTATACGTTGCCAAGTATATGAGATGTGGTCACAGGGTGAACGCGTTTCCTGTGGTGTCATTACTGAGGATACGAAAATAGTGTTCCGCAGTAGCACATCAATGGTTTATTTATTTCTACAAATGTCTTCCGAAATGTGGGATTTCAATATACACGGCGATTTATATTTTGAAAAAGCAGTGAATGGTTTTTTGACTGAATTATTTCACAAATGGAAAAAGCTCGGTTGCAATCATGAAGTAACAATTGTACTATTTTCTCGAACATTTTATGCTGCAAAATCGTTAGATGAGTTCCCTGAGCATATGAGAGATTGTCTACAGTTGGATTATAAAGGTCGATTTTATGAAGATTTCTATCGTGTAGCTATACAAAATGAACGTAATGATGACTGGTGTACTGTATTAGCTCAGTTACGAAAACTCTTTACATCATATCAGAGTACAGTATTGCGTTATCATGAGCGCGAAGGTATAAGAATACCACAAGCTACAAACTCCACAGCTGCACAAGGAAATTTCTTGGAAGTGCTTAATATTTCTTTAAATACATTTGAAAAACATTATTTGGACCGTACATTTGATCGTACAGGACAGTTATCTGTTGTGATAACACCTGGTGTAGGAGTTTTTGAAGTGGATCGTGAGCTTACAAATATCACTAAACAAAGAGTATGATTTTGAAATATTGTTATTTTATTTTTGTAATAATTTTTTGTATGTAGATTATTGACAATGGCGTAGGCAGTGATTTGGTTTGCGTTGGTGAACAGCCGTTGCATGCTGTACCACTACTAAAGTTTCATAACAAAGACACCTCCCTAACTTCTGCTGATGATTACTCTCTACCACATTGGATTAATTTAAGTTTTTATTCGACAAACAAGAAGATCGCATATTCCAACTTTATACCACGTATAAAGCTGCCACCAATTATAGCAAATGCAACCAATAATGAGGAATATGATGTAAATAATATTAAATATAATATAAATAAAATAACTTTTGGAATGTTTTGTAGGAAAGTGAGAAAAATTTTTTAAGTTGTAATCAATCAGAGTATTTACATAATTCATTATTCGATTACGATGCTTATGATGAACAGATCTTTCAACCACTACCAGCTCAAGGCACTTGGTAAGAAACACTAATCAATTCAAAATATAATTAAAATATATATTTATATATATTATATGTATAGTATAATATATAATTTAACAGTGTTAAATAATTATATGGCTATTTGTTTATTATATTTTTTATTTTTATTTATATTTTACCACATACAAGAACAGCAATTGATTTTGTTTTTCAAAAGAAATTTAATATTGACATGAATTCAGACCTATTTAATTTTGTATTAGCTTATCTTTGTTGTTTGAAAAGACAAGTGGCTCCGGGGCTTGTATCCGCCCACTCTAAGTGACAATTCATTTTTGTAATTGTAGTTATTCGTCTCATTGTTATATTGTCTTCGAGAAACTCCGCTTAGTTTTAGGGATTGATATGCGGTACCTAAATATTTGATCCTAGATATTACAAGTAGGTTGAGCTTATTGATCTGACATTATTCTATCAACAGTTTATTCTGGATGCTGAAGTTATAGTTTGTGCTGTCGTTGACTGACTTTATTTTGTGATGTTTTTTGAACACAAAATAACATATTTTCTTTGAAGAATTATTATTATAAATTTTTTTTGTGTATTCATTTTATATAAATTGTTTAATATAATATTATTTTTAGTTCCTTGCAGCGCATAATACGTGCGAAGAAGACTTCAGTGCCAAGCTTAGAGACTTATGCATATCGAAATAATGATTGGGATAATTTAACTCCAATTAAAATTCCTAGTTTACGAAGAAAAATGTCTGATCCTGATATACATCATGGCACTTCAGGCATGTTAGCATCTTTGGTAAGTTAATCTAACGCGATAATAAAACTATTCATAATAAAACTATTCGTCAATCGCTTTTAGACTGATACGATAAATCTTTCTGAATCACTTGCTTCTGATAACAAAGCGCGTAGATCTATTGTATCTATAGCACCGATTGTACGACCAGGACGTGCCTTAATAAATCCATTTGATCCATCACATGTTACAATAAAATTAACATCAAATCGTCGCCGTTGGACACATATATTTCCTAAAGTAAGAAGCAACCAGTTTTATTTTTTTTTTATAATTTTACATATCATATCCTTTTTTAGGGCCCTACTGGTGTACTTATACAGCAACATCATTATCAAGCTATACCTGCAAAACCAGCACTTCCTATTAACAATAACAATGAGAATGAATATTCCTCAGGTTTTAATTCTTCTGATTATGATCACACATCGAATTGTTCATCGTTAAACAAATCGTATAATTCCAATCATAGCGAAGAGAAAATTGATTGTATGTAAATTATATTTAACAGTATTGAATTATTTGTTTTTTGTTATTTATATTATAATTTATTTATTTGAATTTAGTTACAAAAAAACGTAATAATTCACTTTTAAGTACAACAAATAATGGACCTCTTATAAATAGTGCAGTGCCACCCTCAAAAAGTTTCTTATGGGGTGCTACGGGTGAACAAGAATGGACTCCGGCAATAACGACAGGTAAGTCTAAATGTTTTCCTTCTTTTTTTGTTACCAAGTTTTTAATCATATTTAATTATCAATAATAAATAAAAAAGTTAAATTAACTTTTATAATATATCCACTAAAATACTCCATTTAAAACAAGCTAAAAATTATAACATTAAACAAGTTAAAGCAAAATATTATATATTTAATATAGTTTAATAAATTTTAAAAAAACTTAATTAATGTTGAAACTTTTTCTTTAATGCCAAATTTCCTGTCCACATGTGTTAATGTTATACAGCTTTTGTCATATGTGTTCATATCTTTTCTTGCAATTATTGCCTTTTGATTAAAACAGAAAAGGTCAATTGTATGTCTCTTTTAAGAACAGAAGAGATCGGTTTACATAATTTTTTTGTGGGTAAAATGGAATAGTTATAAATTTTTCAAGTTCGCATAAAATAACTTTACAGACAGTTTTACGATGTACACTTAATTAAGTAACCCTTAAGTGTTCGATAGTTAAGTGTACACTGCAAAATTGGCCCTTAATGTATTTAACTTAAAATAATTGTTAAATAAAAAATTTGTGTATTAAAAATTTTTCGCTATAATAATATTAAATTATTAAATAAATAATTTTTTTTATTGAAAAAAGTATATAACTGTAAATTAAATATAAACTATATAAAAATTATTTTAAACAATAATTAGGTTAATAATAATATAATTAATAAATAAAATTTTGTGAGCATAAAAAATTCATAAAAAAATGTATATAAGTATATAAATAAGTATATATTTCTAAATGTTAATGATAAAAAGTAATCTAAGACTATTGTTAATAATTTTTAATGCGTACGAATTTTAGCTTCTTATTATAAAATATGTATGTATACAATTTTATTTGAAGTTTATTGATTCTAGGACATTTACATATAAATAATTAATAATTAATTAATACTACAATCATATCTATAATTTAGTTTACATTTTTATTTTTAATAATAGCTGCGTTTCAGTAAACCATCGAACAAATTTCTTTTGCTGGTTCAGCTTTTTACTGAAATATTTATCAGATGCTGTTTTTTTGTTTAAGAGTCTATGTTTTCATTTGTTGCTTGTTTGGATTCGTCCTGAACGGTATCATTAATTATGTTTCCCACATGGACAATTGAAAAAGGCAATGTCCTTTGAATGTCTTTTTGGGTTGGCAAATAAAAAAAAAATATAATGCTGTGTCTGAAATTGCTATTACATATTAATTTCGTTCCTCATTTAAGGTTTCTATTTAATAATAATTTTGTCAATAGATAATAATAATTGGTCATTAGTTAAATAATCAACTTTTTAAAAAATATATTCTATAATCATCATCATGACACAAATATAATGACGATACAGTTAATTTAATAAATGAATTCAGAAGCATTTAAAAAATTTAAGGAAATTCTTATAAGAACCAAATGAACTTCAATTAAATTAAATAAAATTAATATATAATTATAAAGATATACTATTTGCATAAAAACTTATAATTGAGCAATTTTATAAAGTATATATTACTTATATTTTCGAATATTATTAAAAATTAATTTATTTTTAAACTGATTTTTAATCAAAACTAATATATCTTATTAGCATTAATTATAAAATATAATAAATACGTACAGTGAAAGCTTTTTTAAAAGGGCGTTATTATAAACGGACATATTCCATTACCATGAAATGTTGCTAATCTCTATCCATTGTTTATATAAAGTAAATTATTTTAAACTATCTGTTCTCTTAGTTGGAGAGAATTGCTAGTTGCACCGATGTCCTCTTAAGGGAGCTCTCAATATACATATTAACTTATATACAGTATTAAGAATAAGAAATGTTTTAGTTACAAGGGGGTTAGTTTAGTTTTTAATAATATAAAAAATATTCTGCAAGTTTTTAAGTTTAAATAAGAAAAATATTAATATAAATAATTTTATATATTTCTTCATAATTAAATACATACAAATGAAGTAGTTAGAGTACTAAAAACTCAGAAAAAATGCTTGCCAATCTAAAACAAATCACGTATCATTAAAGGAAATGTTTTATTAACTCATTGAGTATCGACACAATGCAATATGCAATAACATATAATTTATTATATATTAAAAAAAAATTAATAATTTTAACTAATTATTTATTTTTTTGTCTTTTCTTTTATATAAATTTATTATACATATATGAAAATTGCAAATTAAAAAAAATAAAATAATTTAAATAAATAACCTTACCTGCATCCTCAACCACAAACAACCACGCTACATAACGTATTTTTGGAATCAAATAATGTTTGTTTGCATTTAATTAAACATTTTTTATTAAGTGAATGCTATGAATACCAGAAAACATTTGAAACCCATTGTTGAAACTGATCAGAAAGGAATTACCTGTACAGACGCAGACGGAGGTGGAAAAATTATAATAGGTTTGCAATAGTTCAATTCAGTAAAATTTCCTTTTTTTATATAAACACACACACAAATAATATTTGCACATTAGTTTAAAAACAGCTTTATTTAAAATTTTATATATTTTTGGGTTAATCAATTCATATTGTGCAAGAACTTCTATTAAAACTATATATATTTAAACCAATTATGAAAATGGATAACCATTTATCAAAGGAAAACAATATCAGATTTGGTGCTACTAGTTTACAATGATTTTAACCTTAGGTGTAGAGGTAAGTAATTTATTAAGTATCTATATCTATTAAATGCTCACCTATTGATTGTTTAAAAATTATTATTAAACACTTAATTCGTTTATATAGGATTCAGATTACTTTGATATAGACTTCTTCTTACTTGCAACTGATTATGCTGTCTTCTTATTTGATTTTCTGATTATCCGCATATGATACACGTACACTGATCATATGAGGTATACTTGCAAAAATAGTCTTACACTATAGATTAGTATCTATTGCCTGAATAGAAGTATGAAGTTAATTAGTGTTACTGAATAATTCATCCCCTGACTCTTTAAACTTATTATGCTATCGATTATCGAATTTCGAGGATTGAGTTTATTAAGTTCTAAACTTAATCATATTTTCTAATTCCTGGTTTTGCAAACATGGTCGCTAACCAATATATGAATGAATTTGCAAATAACGATAATTACTCTATACGGTGTTATATATAGGAAGGGGAGAGAGGTTGTTTTGAATATTGAAATATAGTATTGAGTAGTATAGAAATAATTGAGATATATATAATAACATATAGTTATTATATATTATGTTTGAATAAATTTTTAAAAACACCTCCTTAAATGTGTCTCTGCATATGCTTCTATCCGTATAGATCTCCTATCACCGGTATCTCTTGTAGAAGCATATAGCTTATTAACTATTTACCTGTCATAGATTACTTTATTTATTTATGCGTAGAATCTATATTAATGAGATGGAGTTTTAATTTAATTTAATATCAATAACTTAATAATAGATTAACATAGAGCCAGTAACTAATGTATGAGTAAGCTGGTAAAAATACTGATTACCCCCTAATATATCATCAATATATCATCCCTTAAAAGGGATCTTTTGGATGAACATTTGAATAAATTACTAAATTCAAAACAATGCTGAATCTAATTATATTAAATCTTGTTATTTGACGTTCAAGATAAAAATATTATAATAGAATTTAGTCGGATTTTTGCGATTACCAACCAGACCAACTAATTGTGACCTCTCTGTGATGTATAAACAATTAACTAATTAACTGTTTTCATACGTTTTTCTCATCTACTATTTTTTTGTTAGTCATACACAAATTTTCTATACTTGCAACGGGTCAATGAAATCAAAACTATACTAAAGGTAATTTTCGTTAATATTGTTTATTTGTGTCCATGGTAAAGGTAGCCGTTGCGGAGATCTATATAATATAGTAGATAACATGAAAGAGATTACAAATATGTATATATGTGTTAGGATTTAGGTAAGATTTAGGTAAGGCAAAAGAGAGGTGAGAGGCGGATCGAGGAAGGGTAGGATTTCGATTGACCCTTGGTCAAGCTAAAGGGACTATATCAGAAGTGGTCGTAGTAGTAATTAATCCGCTTTTAGAATTTGTCAAATTGAACAGTTATATGTAAAAAATTTATATTGTTTAACTCTTTTCAATAGAACAGTAAAATCAAAACACCGTCTTAGCTAATATTCCTGATTCTAGTTTATTGGTGTCCTAGATCAAAACACTGTCTTAGCTAATATTCCTGATTCTAGTTTATTGGTGTCTCCTAGATATAAACAACAATTAGCTAGGTAGGTATGTTTGGATGTCTGGTTCCTTTGTGTTGGAATGGACTTATTAAAGCAAAATTGTTCCATTGTAATAGCACATCATCTCATTAAGACGACTGATAAAATTATCAACTATTTTATAAATTAATTTAATTGTTAATTTCATAGATCAAAACTTCTTTGGCAATATCTAATATATCGTCCAGTTAACACTAATATAATGATTCCAATTAGATATTCAACAGTTTTTGCTTTTTCGCCAGTGTTCTTGCTGTTATTTAATGGGTCCTTTCCTCTTCTCGCCGTCAGCGCTTTTGCAGATATTTTAGAATTTTCTCTTTCATCTCATCGCTAGAACTTCTGGAAGTATTTGATATTTCATTTTTCTCCTCATCGTCACGACTTTTGCATTAGTCATTGTAGGAAAAACCCATTTAATCGTTTAAAAAACAATCGATGTATATCTAAAATTACTGAACATGATCGCTTTCTCTCTCTCTCACAGCACTAAATGTGATATTTACGAAGTGAAGTACGCAAATACTGAATTTTTTAACCCACACGCTCATTGTAGAATTTTTGAATTTTGTATAATTGAATTTTTATTTAGTATTATACTAGATATAATAAAAACAAAAAAAAATATATAATAAAAAAATGTTTATGTAGTAAATTGTACCAATAAATTTTTAATATCAACATGTATGAAGCACCCATTTCATCAAAATGGAACAGGACTCATACGAACCACACGTAATGCATTCATCATTATTAATCAATGTCAGAAAATGCAAACTTTTTATGTGTTACTAATATAAAATAATGGTGAAACAGTCAATCGGAACTGGATAAGTGTGTGTGATATAAAAACCATTGATATATTAATTACAATAAATTAAATTTATTTTATACCTATCCAGCTCTGAACAGGATAACAAATTCTCCCATGCAATTATCATGCATGCCTAACTATTTGCTTTAATGTATGCATGATCCTTAAACCTACATAAATCGCTGTAATAATTAATGTTTGCTTTTCATTTTAATCTTATATTATTATGCTAATGATTTTCTTAAATTTAAAGAAATGTACAAATATATATGAAAATATAGTTTTCTTTTTCAGCTAAGATTTTTTTCTTCTATAAGTGTTTCCTTTATTAAAAAGGCGTTGGCTACTTTATGTTTCTGTTTAAATTTTGTTTAAGTAATCGTGTATTGAGTAAATGTGATGTTATCACCTTTTTCTTTGTAATATCTTTTAACTTTAATAAAATACCCCATCTCTAGATCTAAGACAAATGTTAATATGTTTCAATTTTTTCACATAATTTTCCAAAAAAAAAAAAAATATATATAGGTGTGGATTGGAAGTCCCTATCAATTCCTGCTTGTCTGCCGATCACTACAGATTACTTCCCTGATAAACGCTCTTTGCATAATGATTTTGTGATATCCGACTACACTTTATTACCCGAAGACGTTAATCTTGATTATGCCAATAGTCGTGCCATATATCGTAAACCATTATCAACTGAAGAAGTCTTTAGAGAAATAGTATCACAACGTCTTGCACAAGGGTTTCAATTGATTGTTTTGGAAGATAAAGTTACTGCGCCACAACAAGCTCCATGCTGTGGCGGTCTGAAGCAGAAAACTGCCTCCGTACTGGGTATAAAGCCACCAATGGAAGTCACTAAAGAATACTTATTATCAATTGGTAGAATATTTCATAAAATTTCTTTAAATGATTCTGTAATAACTGTTACAGGATACAGGCCAAGGTAATATAAGTCAGCATATATATTCAATATTATAAATATTAAACAGTTAAATTTTGATAATAATTTATTTTTATTGTAGACATCCTTATCCACCCATTAATGTTGATTATCGATATCGTTTTCATGCGCCCCAGCATGAAACTTATGAAATATCAGGTGTGAACTTTACCACAGAAAAATTGGAGAATTTCAATTGGAATTATATGGATCATTATATATGTACGCGTGGTGATACAGATTATCCACTAATGGAGGTTTGTGTATTATATTTATGTAAGAGATATAATAAAATTGTTTAGGTGCATGTTATGATTGCAGTCACGTCACGGCAATTCTTATTGCTTTCAATGCGAAAAAAAAATTTGACAATGAAATAAATGGTAGATGTTATATGCTGAGTGCTTCTTGCTAAATTGAAGACATCCCTGTACATGTTTTTGATCTAGCCTGTGCGGCAAAACTAATAGGCTCACTTAAGGTTCTGAAAGTGGGCCTACTGCAATAATAAAGTTTTAAATTCACGCTAGCTGGAACGGTTATATCATTTGTAAATATTTTGGCACCTTCTACCATATTAGATTGACAAAGCAGATGAGCAATAATTTCCTCTTCATATTCTATAAAAAGATCAATATCAATTACAAGTTAACTGAAGATGTCATATGTTGGGTGATTATTACCAAATGGATTAAGCTCTGAATGTAATATCTTGATTCAAAAATTGATACACATCTTATAATTTTTTTTTGTGGGTTAGGAGGTGGAATGCTTTATGCACCGCCAAACCGACGGAATAGTGTATCCGACTACAACTGTATAGTATATGAACTAAAACACTCTTCTTTTTCGGGATTTCTCCACCCGAGACCGCTTTACCATCACTTCGGGGTCGATCCCTTATAACTTGGCAATCCATAACATATGCTTCCGTAGAATATGCGTCCAGGCCCCCCACTTGTGATCTGACTTCGAAAATCTTCAGATAGCTCTTCGTTTTAGATTAGTTTGAGTACAAATCTATTTTTCCCCTCAGCACGTTTCCGACAAATTGTGTGATTTTGTTCCAATTTTCTGCTCATTCTGTCATTTTTTCAATGATATTCTCGACTATGAGAAAGAAAGCTGTCAAAAACAATTTTTTATAAAATATCCAGAAGCTATTCATTTTGAAATTCAATTTAATTTTATATCTTAGTGCTGTTGAGATTTTTCTTCTTCTTCTTATTTGACACTACAGTCCAGTGCGAATCGTAGCCTCCTTAAATTTTGCGTAGCAGGTGTTTTTTTCCGATGCGAGGCTGATAAAATTGCTGTTTGGTAGCTAGAGAATTTCCCCTATGCTAGGTGTTTTAAGGTAATACCGCCTGTGCTCGGTCGCCAGAGCCTCGTATGTGAGATAAGGATACATCAGGTGTCGGTGAGGTTGGTTGTTGAGGAGGCTAGACTGTGTATTCGCATCACTTTCCCATTGGGGCACACACTTCTGTCGCTTGCATCCCTGCTATTGAGATTAATATGTTTTAAAATCGATTTTCTATACAATTTTTTTTAGAGAGATATATTCTATATATAAAAAAATGATTATATTTTATTTATTTGGGTTTCTATTTATTTCAGAATCTAAAGTACTGGCGTTACCGTATGTATCTTCTGCCCAAGGATAATCCAGCCATGACAAAAATAATTGAATTAGGTTCGCAACGTTGTGATATTTACACAGACTTTCCGATAGACAATACTAAGCAGCAAGTCGATGACTTCCTGCGTTTGGTGGAACTGCACTTAAATAAATTAAAAAGACAAATGATAAGAAAGACACGCGTAAGATCAAATCAAATATTTAAACTTTATTGTTCTTAAAATGTATGAAACCCCTGCAGCTTTAAAGTTTTGTTTTTATTTTATTATTATTTGTTAACTCTTAATTTTTATATGTAAATTTATATGCAATTATATCAAGTGTTAGCTTTTATTTTTAGTTTAAACAAATTCGTTATATGAAATGCTTATATTTTAGTTACACTTGTTTTATTTACTTTACATATAAACTACATAAAGCTTTCTAATATTTTATACGTACATATAATATGCATATACAGCCACAACAGTGCTTACATATGTACATTTACAATAACTCTTATGTACGGAAAGATATACTTTTTATATTTGTATTTATTTATTTATTTTTTATTAACATATATATGTGTATTTTACCTTAACTAAAACTATAACTTTTTTAATCTTAAAATCGTTGTTGCTTTTGCCTTATGTTTGAGTTGGATCATTACAGGATAGCCCCACAGTCCAAAGTCATCTAACAAGAAGGCGTCACAGTACCAGCATAATTTCCAGACCTCCACCTAATCAGGTTCTCAACTTAAAAATCCTTAAATTTATTTAAATATTTTTATGTTCGTACATAAACAAATGCAATTGCTTTTTATTTCGGTTTTTATTTTAACTCAAATAATTAACAAATTTAATTTAATAACTAATTAAATGTATTCTGTCGAACTTTTGTAACAACTTGTCTTTTGTCCAATTTTTCAATAATTTGTTTATGTTTTTTTTCTCCAATTTAACGCATTCTCTAAAATAACTTAACTAAAGTTTTGTTATAATTAAAAAAAAACGAAAAGAAAAAACTAATGAAATTAATTTTATTAATAATTAATTTATTATTTTGTTGCCTGTATGCAGGGTTTGACAAATTCGCCATTTCGTGAACGCGTTGGAAGTAATCGATTACCAGAGAAACGACCCAGGTTTTTATAATTATTTAATCTATTTTTCTTTTTTTTTGTAATTTGCGCTCAAAGTTCACATAGTTTATAATTTGGTTAAGCTGGTATGTTAGTATATTAGTTGTTTTTATTATTTATATAATTACAATTTTTTTTAATTTTTGGTGTTGTTAAGGAAAAGAGTTTTTAAAGCATTTGTCAAGCATAAAACCATTTCTTTTATTTCATTTTACTTTATGCTTTATGCCACCTCTGTCAGCTTTTTTATATATTCTGAGTAAATTAATTTTGCCGCCTGATTTATATTTTTATTTAATTATTATTTTTTATATATATAATTTATTTAAAATAAGTTTCTAGAAAAGAGATTTAATTTTTTTTGCTTATAAACTAAACATATTTCACTTATTGTTGTATGTATAACATATAGTGCATTTCAGAATTACATTTCGACATACAGCTGTTTCGAGTATTACCAAATTCCCATCAACAGTGGTTTTGCAAATAATTCTTCTATTTAATTATTCCTAAATCATTTCTTGAGACTACAAGTACCAGGAATCGAATTCGTGTTCTGCTAAATTTAAAGCTCAGAGTCAGTGCTTGACTTTTATGTTCGCACATTTTTCTGGAGTTTTAATACTTTGCTGTGAAAGTTTTATTAACAAATTTACTTGCTCATAAACCAGCTGTAGAATAATTTAATTAATTAATTAATTATATTTTTATTTATAATTGTTAAATTTGATGACACTTTTGTTTGTAGAGGCATTATTTGTTGCATGATTTAGATATTCTTTCTTGTGTTTAGAACCTAATCTAGAAACGTAATACTGAGAAAGTCATGCTAATGTTACTCCCCGAGTCGTACGGGCGAGACCAATATTTTGTGAATATAAGTTATAATTTAAGGTAAATTTTTTTTTTTATTACGGGTTAATGAAACAGTATTCTATATTTTTGTAATTAAACGACGTTCTTTTAAAACGATTTTAATCATTTAGATATAATTATTTTTTTTTTAATTGCCCATTGTTCAGTAAAAACCTTTATTTACTTATTATAGAATTTTTTGGTATAAACATTGAAAAACTAATGCAGGCTCTTTGCACAGTGTCTTTTTAAATAATTTTTACTTCAACAAGGGAATGTTGGAAATCTTAAGATCAATTTAATGGAGTAACATGTTACAAAGGTCTGAGCAAATAATAATCTGACGATACAATGTGAAAACTATATTGTGAATGTATCACCAATTCCCAGTCCAAATCCCTTATTTTATATATTAACAAAAAATAAGTATGACCTAGTGTTGTTTTGATGAAATTCAAGACATTTTGTTCTGAGTAATTTCGGCTACTTTCCTTGAATATCTTCCCTCTTTCCTTTATAATAAATGTTGGTTGTGGGAAGTTATATATAGTTATATATATAGTTATATATATAGTTATATATATAGTTATATATATAGTTATATATATAGTTATATATATAGTTATTATTGTTGTAGCGTTTGTTATTATTGTTTTCTGCCCTTGTTGGGAGCGGTAAATAAAAACTTAACATTGATTTGGAATCTTTGTAATCAATGTTGTTGTTGTGGTTGTTGCAAATCGTGAAGATCTATAGAACAGATAATATGAAAGGAATTAGAAATACGTATGCTTAGGTAAGGATATGGTTACGTAAAGGAAGTGTGAGAGGGGTGAAGATTGTTTAGGAACAAGATTGGATTGGGGTTGGATGTAATTTTAATTGAAGTTAAACTGAAGCAATGAGGAAAAACCTACAAACAGTTTAATAGTTTATTTTTATTTCGAGGCTGGGGAACAAAAAATATCTACACACACCCGCAGAAATGTCTTTCTGTGGGTAGTGTACGGTTCGCGCTAATCGCTGACATGCTAAAAAACTTCCCTTTCCAGGATGAAGTACATGATGAGTATCTCAATCTGGTTAAACTGCGTTTATCAAAACACACTCGAACATAAATTTTAATAAGGAAGAAATTCTTAAATCGCATATACACAAATATTAAAGAAGATTTTATAACGTCTGCAGTTGCAATGCTTGTCAGGTTTGTTAGTTCGTATGCTTCCATACTAGAATATGTTAATCTACGTAATCATACTAAATTTGGTAATTTTTTTGTGTACTCAATTATATATTTCTTTTCTTTCCTACTGTTTTTGCACCTCTATTTGAAGAAGATATCTTCAAAGGCCTGTTAAAACCACCATAACCCAAGTTGATTGTTTGCTGAGAACAATCAGTTACGGTTGGACGATTTTTGAAGATCATATTCTCATATGAGTTAATATAATTTAATGATTGTATAATGTTTAAATCAATGTACACATTTTTGAATTGGTTTATAGTACCGTACGTATCGTTCACCTGTTTTTTAATGTAAACGTTGCTGATTTGATGAAATCAATTCGATTCAAATTCGGTTTGCAGTCCTTTGGGAAACTATAAAAAACAGGGTTTCATCTTTATTTTCTTTAGTGAATGAAAACTTTTCTAGAAACTTATTGTAAATTTTTATGCCAGCAAATTTTTATATACTGCATTTTATTTTGTTTCTACATTTTAATTTGGTCTTTGGTTTTCAGCATGTTGCATCTAGAATAACTGAAAAGCATCATCCTATTTTTTATTCACCACAAAAAAGGTTGGTCACCAATTTAATTAATGAACTCATAAAATGGTTTGGCTTGAATTTTTGTAAATACATTAAACACAGCACAATTATTTTGGCTTCAATTTAAAATTTATTTACACATAACACATTATAATTTTAAAAATTCAAATTAATTTAATATTACTTAATATTAATTTAATATTTATCCATTTTAATAATAGTATTTGAACTTATTAAGCATTTTTCTCACACTAAATTAGTTTTACAACACGTCCTGTGCCAAAAATAGATCGAGGACGTATATCACCAGCAGCGGATGCTGCAGCTATTGCTTTAAATGCTGAACTAGGTAATCGCGATGATCAGGATGATGGGTAACTTTAGCATAATTTGTTGTTTACATAATTATTTATATATATATTATATTTGTTTCAATAGCTTTATAGCAGATGTAAAGTTACGTCCAAATGCCAATCTAAGCGAAATATTTGAAGCAATGAAGCATCCAGTAACTGGTGTTGGCTTCTTCTCACAAACACCGAGTCTACCATCTTGCACATTTATATCATATGATGCTCTTCTTTGGCTGAAAGCACGTTTAGATAATACTAGAAATCCTTTAGATATATTAGAGGCAATGCGCAAGTATGTTTGAGTTTCAATCGATATTATTTTATATATATAATAATATTTATAAATTTTAAACATATTGTTTTTATAGAGAAAAAATGATTTGTCATGCTTCTGGAGATTGGAATAAACCAATAATACCTGGTTTTTATTTATATTTTGTAGCACAACAAGATACTACAGCTAAAGGTAATGCACAAAACAATCAACTAAAAGTAGGTAGGTTATACCGGTGATCTCAAGGGATCTACTTAAGCTATATGCCCATTGTGTTATCATATAATTAAAAACTGAAGAATTAGAACCTTTGACAAAGTTTATAATGCTATTTCGGGGGAGGTCTTGCAGTTCGTCAAGATCCTCAAAAAAGAAAGTCTTTAAAGTAATAAGACGGTGCCACGCATGTACTGGACAGAAAAAAAGCAGATTGAACGCATTTTCATCCTCCGCTTCACAACTGCGGCAGGTATGATTGAAAGCGAGATTTAGTCTTCTAGCATGGTTACCTAAAATACAATCACCTGTAAGTAAACTTACTACAAGACTGATATCTCTTAGGTGCATCCTAATAAGAGAGTTTGATTTCCTTTTATTGGAGCGTGGCCAAATTGTATGTATAGATGCCTGCATATCGTTGAGTCTTCCCATCTCTTATTTAAAACCAACTGAAATATGAAATACTAATTTTAGATTAGAATATTTTATTTTCATTTTTATGTAACTGGTATTATTATGTATATTAATTTTATAAATAGATTACGCTAAACCTTTGAACGACTTGAGTGCATTTGAAAATGAGTGGATGGAAGTTGAAATTCAAGGGTGCAATCACTTATGGATGGATGAACCTGTACCTATTAATGTACCAAATTTCCTAAGAGATGTTCCTACCTCACAAACATGGACTGAATACTGTCTTAATAGTAAGTAAAAATGTATATGTAGTAATACATTAGGTAGGCATATTAAGTATATGTGGTTGTATTATTCGCAAACACAAACAGTATACTGCCTTAATAGAAAGTAAAAATATATATATAGTAATATTTTATGTAGAAAGCAAAATGAAAGGAGTTTTGAATCTTCTTCAAATAGCTAACAAAGACGTTTTGATTTCATATTCCACATAATTTTTTGCAGAAAGTTAAGCATATCTGGCCAATAATAATGTTGAAAATATCGCTGAGTAAATCAAAGAATAGGGTGCACATAAACATAATAGCTGGCTGACATGTACTACAAGAACAGGTGTACTAGCTTGGCTTTATGTCTTTCAATAGTTCAATGAAATTGAATTTATCTTAGATAATTCTGATTTACTTATTTGGACTAAGTCAGAGGGTTTACGTTTGGAGTATGGAGGGCATGACCTAACCGCTCTTGAATAAAAGAAAGACTTCATTCTTAGAGTATATTTATAGTTAAAGGGTAAATTTTGAAGATATTTGTATACCAAAAAGTAGTCAAATTTTTATCGTTCATTTTTGAAAGTGATATAATATAATTAAAATATAAAGGATTAACAACATCCAGTATATTATTTTTATCTTTTATATTATCTTTTATAGGTATATTATCTTTTATAAATAACATTTTATATCTTTTATATTATTTTTTTATATTTATATTTCGCACTATATTCATCACTTAACAAATTTCCAGTAAAAATGTTATATGTATATGGCAACTTTGAATTATGATCATCTAATTATGACCACTCATATGGTCAAGAAAACTGATGTTTCCAGCCTACCTATAAACCCAGTTTGCATTGTAGCATATATAATAGGATTGATGTAGTGTTTTACGAGGTTTGATTGTGGCTCCAAAAACAATCTAGTAAAATATTGTTAAAAATAGAATCTTGATTAAATAATTGCTGTCTTAAATTATTTTTTTATCCTTTTATCTTTTATCTATTATTACTTTTATTTTTAGAAAAAATATATCGCCATTCTCATCTAGAAATTGAAGTGAATCAAAAAAGTGATGATCGCGTAGAGTGGGGACATGTAAAATATCATACAGTAAATCAGCCAGGATTTGCATTTGAAATCGTTGTTGAATGGGTAACATCATCAGGACCAAGAGTTTCAGATCTGGTATATTATTTAAATATTTTTACTGATTTTTATTAAATAATATTAACAATAATTTTATTACAATAGATTAATGGTTGGATACGAAAAGCAAATCAATGTGCTTCATATCAACTTATATCCGTGCCAGCCGATCCAATGGCTGAACCATTTACTGAAAAGTCTGATCCATTACGTGGGCCAATTTTTATACCCTTAACTACTAATTTTGACGAAAATAATGGCACACTTTTTGAAGGTATATATTAAAAATTATAGAATTTTTATAAAAATACATTTTTTTTTTTAGAATTTTCGGAAGATAGTAGAGCTGACCGAATGCTACTCTTTCAAGAAGCGATTTTAGCACGTTTTGGTTTTCTACCTTGTGTGCTACAAAAGAAATTTTCGTTTAATAAAGATGTATGTATTCAATTAAAAAACAAAGTTAATATATAATTACAATATATTTTCTTTTTATTTTGTATATTTTAGTTACCGAAAGAATATCAATATGTTCACTGTTCGGGTAACATGTTCGTACTCATACGGTGAGTATATATTTATAAAATTTTAAAAAATATAAATTTAAACTATTATAATATCTAATTATATTGTAGTTGTTCTAAAAATAATTATCAAATCGAATCTCCAAGCCGTCAAGAAGTAAATGTTACCAGATGTGTTTATGGTCATACTAACAATACGAATGTGCCCAAAAAGGTAAAAAAAATTAGTCATTATTTGGTGTAGTATTTTAATTTTTTGTTTTTGTATTAAAGGTTGGTTTTCTCTGGGCATGGAATCATATGATACCAAATAAAAAATGGAAATCTTTAGTTATAAATAACACTCACGAGGGTGAATTATTTCAATTAAGAATGCTTAAAGATTTTCGAGAATTTTGTTCAAATCATGATGAACGCTTATCGAAATTTTGGAAAAATTGTCAAGAGCTAAAAAGGAAATCAATTAAAATTGAATACAACAATAATATTAATAACAATAACGATGTAAAATCCAAAATTTTATAAGACATCATTGTATAAAAAATCTTAAACTTTTTTATACATTTATTTTGACTGTAAGATATATTGTAAAATAGCCGAATAGATTTTTTACTGCTGATAAGTTTAATAAATATGTTATATATTAAAAGGACTGAATTAATAAAACTTAAAAACACAATGTATAGAATTATTATTATTTATTAATTATTTTTATTAAATTTAATCAATATATTAACTCTACCAGAACGAAAGATTCGGTTTTGATTTGATTTCGTATTCTATTGTTGAAGTAAACGAATACTTCTGATTGTACACTAGCAACTCCTAAAATTAGTATTAGTATAGTTTTAAAAATTTTGCACTTTAATTGTGAAACCTTTCATCCTGACATTGTAAATGTTATATTGGCATAAGTCTTGAAAAGTTAAAATTTTTTTTTAAATTTCCAATACAATTAGTTTCTAGTTTCTTTAGAAGCTTGACATGGGAAAATTTTCGCTTTTGCAGCCATGTCTTCGCCCAATGAGCTAGTTTTTTAAATACAGAAATGAATGATAATAAAACCAACATTAAACAACAACCATTTTTACCAACCCTGTCATTATAACATATCAAAAATATTTTGACAAAATAACGATTGTTGCAAAAGAAAGGAATGCAAAATATTGAAAGAATTTAATCTTATATATTTTGTTATACCAAGAGTCTACCCTAATTGGATTTTTGGCTGACCATACAGCTGTTTGAAGCATCACTAAATATTCACTACCAATAGACTTTGGAAAATTCGCTTATTTTAAAAGTCCATTTTTAAAAGTCCACAATTTTTTGGACTGTAAGTATTGGGCATTGAACTGTGAAATTGAAAACCAAACGCTTTAATGCGTTTTTGAATATATATTCTGCTATATATATGAAACAAATCGTTACTATATAAAATACACGTTAGTTTAAAATGTATTTAATTGATATACAAAATTTAATATACTTATATATGCCGTTGATATTATTAAACATTTTCTTTTGTATTCTTTTGCATAAATTTATTTCTATAGTCATAACAAAAAAAATTATATAATTTAATGTTTTTTCATTGGTTTTTAAACTTCTATCAGTCGAAATTTTAATCCAATCTCTAAAAACTATTCGTATACAAATTAAGAAATATTTAATGCTTGGCAACTCTATATATACATTTTGAAAGGTACAAAAACTGTCAACAGAAAATAACAACAACAAAATTATACTTATTTCATTCGTTGAATCAAATGTATTGAATTAAAAAAAAAATCCTGGATTATAAACAAGGCCGTTTTCTTTTTAATAAAACCATGGGTAATTTTTATATACCATGCAAAACTTTCATATACAGCTCCACTTAAAAAACATTTTTTCTCATATACAAATAAACTTTGATTTAAAACAATTCTTATATATAAATAATTATAAAATTTTAAATTTAAAGCCAATGTAGATCCAAACATCAAATTTCAGAAATTCACTTTATAAGACAGTTTAGATGACATGCATCAAATACAAATAATAAGCAGATAAAAATCTTCCCGCTTTCCGTTGGTATCTTATATTTTAAATTTGTTGATATATTGGGATGGGTAATATTCACGTAAACCTTTTTAATGAGTTCTTAAGAAAAAAAAAATTAAAGTTACATTAAAAGTAAGACCATATTTAGACTTTTAAAAATTATGATAATGTTATATATAACTTTAATAAATTTCTATACATGAACTAATCAACTTTAATACATTTATATTTCAGTTCTAGTTCATATTTCGTTAATTCAAATTTTCTTTTAATACGCAAAGTTTCAATTCTTTCTTTGGATTCTATTTCCTTCAGTTTAATCATCGCTTCTTGTTCCAATTTTTTGCGTTCTATTTCCAACTTTTTCTTATTCATGCACAATTTAACTTTTTCTACAAATTCATTAAATTCTTTTTTTCTTATATTAAGTTTTATTTTTTCTTTTTCGACATTTGCGTTAATCTCTAATGCAGTTTTGTTAAGATTTGATCTTTCTTTCTGCAACGAAATTGAGTATGAAGCCGGGCTGTTGTTCCAATTCGTCTGATTTTCCAAAGTTTTGAAACTGCTAGTACCAAAAATTTTGTCCAGTTCCTTGAAGAAAGGGCATATGGTGGTAATGTGATCTAAAATAAAAAGAAAAATATAGATAAACTTTTTCAAAATAAAACAATTATGTTGCATTACTAGAATTGAAATCCTTGGTTTTCAAAATTCCGGTGTTGAGATGCCAATCCACTGTAGTTTTATAATTTACTTTTAAGGCTTGTATTTTATCTCGCATATTTTTCCATGAGAAATACTGTAAATCGGCATTGTTTATTTTAATTTCGTTATAAAAGATAGCATCATTGAGTTTCTGAAAATCAAATTAAAATTTTTAATAAATGATCTTAAAATAAATAAAACTAACAAACTTGCCTTAAATCTTTTTTTATTTTCCTGAAGTTTTTCGTAAACACAACGCAGTAATAACAAAGTGTTTTCTTCGTTCCAAGCAACATTATTATTTTCTTGATTTTTCATATTTAAGAAATTTTGCTTTCCAATTCAAAATAAATTATCTCAGAAATGAAAATGTTAAGAGTTGCACACTTGTGGGCTTCTCGATAAAAATACTTGTTTTGATATGTTGATATGTAGAAAAACGTCATTATCGCGGTGTTATATTTATTTTTTTATTTTCTCGGGTTGAGTGTGGCTCTGTGGAGTTTTTCTAAGTGATAATAATTTATAATGAATAATATTTTTAGAATGTCAATTATTATAAATGTTTACGTTTTTATATATTAGGTGTATTCCGGTACGTGAAAATTAGTACTAATGTGCGATTTAGTACTTGTTTTTACTTATTATGTATTCCTGTACACAAAAACTAAAACAAACTAGTAAAACAAAGCGAAGCGAATGAGATATGAGATAAAAATAAATTACTAGTTTCGACTGGCGATAAATAATAAGGGTGAAAATTAGTAAAAACTAGTGAAATGAGAAGAAGCACTCAACAGAGAATTCGAATTTTTTAATGTTATGTTTTACATCTGTTTCATACAGCGTTTAATATTTTGTATGCTAATATAATAATAAAAAACTTTTATTGTATGAAAATAATTATTTTTTCAAAATGGAAACAGATTACGAAATTACATTATGTTGTTCCCCTAAAACCTATAAACAAATTAATGAGGGTAATTTCTTTAATAAAATTTAATATTTTTATTACGCTGTTTATAATTTCAGATGAGGATTTCCGGGCTCAAGTGACAGAAAATGCAAAAGCGGAGCACCAATGTAGCAACATTGTGTTTGAAGAAATTACTGAAGATAAACAATGTTGGGTAGATGAATCAACAACAATGCTGATAGCAGCTGTTAAGGAATTGCAGCCTCTCGTAGGGACAAGCCTAAGTTTTAAATCAAAGAAGAGGATGTGGAATGAAATATCAGAACGTTTGTGTGCGGCTGGCTACCATTTCACTGCGTTGCAAGTGGAAAGTAAGTTTTATGCCATTAAACGACAGTACAAAAAAAAAGGTCGAAATAAGCGAATGTGTGCTTCTCAGAAGTAAGAAAACCAAAATAAAAAATTGAATTACTATATAAACTATTATAATCTTTATTTTTCTATTTAATAGAGAGCTTGAGGATATATTAGGAGAAGATAAAGCCAGCAGCCAAGATTATTTTGATAAAATTCAGAACATACTCTCTTCAACTTGTCAAGAGGAAGAGAATGAATCAGAACATACTAATAGCAGTATAAATAAAGGTAATTTTCTTTATTTAAAAAAAATAATAATTAATCCTTATTTATATAGATTTATGCGAAACTCAATCTTCGCAATTGAATCCACAAAAATCACAAAAATCATCTCGATCAAAAAAACAAAAGACTGTTATAGAGCAGCTGCAAGAAATGCATGATGATCGGAAAAAATTTGAAGCTGTCTACATGGAATTTATGCTGAAACGTGAGGCAAATCGAGCTAAGGAAATTGAACGACGTTCTCTGGACGCGAAGAGGCGTGATCATGAAAAAATTAAGGTAATGAAATCACTTGTAGCAGAGATTTCGACTTTAAACAAAAATTTAAAAACAAATAAAAATAAATAAATTTTAACTTTAGAAAGCGTCTAATTATAAAACTTGATTGTAATACGTTCAATTATAAAACAATTATAAAATTATTATTTTATAAGAATATGTAAATTTATAAGCAGTTTTTATTATAATTTTTTGAATAAAAAACATGTACAAATTTTATTTGAAATCAACATTCACATGTATACTTATTATAGAATAGCATTCCTTAACGAATTCTTCTAAGACTTTTATATTGATTGTTTTTATATTTGTACTCTTCTATGGTTGTTTCAAAAGCAAACTGCAATTCATTTTGATAATGTTGTTGTTGTAACCCGCTGGGACCTGCTTGTGAAGTCCCTTTGGGAGGTGTCGTACGGCACTTGGTCGTCGTTGGCGACGAGTCGGTGCGGGACGTGGAGCCGACCGTTTTTGCAGACTCATTTTGTTAATAATGTTTTGCAGTACATAATATACAATGATGAAACCATACTGTGTTTACCCTTGTTTTTCTTAGTTTTTCCTTGCCCTTGTAGAATACGTATTATCTATATATGAAGTAGTTAAATTTTGAAGATTTGGGTATGCAGAATCCAATACAAACAAAAAATCTATAATTTTATTTTGTTACATGATTTATTACTATTGATTATATATTATTTTATACCTTATTTGTACTGCTAGCAATGAAATTGAAAAAATTCACTGCTACAACTGCTACGACTGCTCGATGATAGCTATCCTAAAAATACATCTATAATCTTTATATATTTGTATAATATTTGTCTGCAACATCATCCTTGTGATTGGCAAGTACATTTAAAACAATGAGAGCACCATCGCCACAACCTTTATAAAAAAAATAATAATGAGACAACTAAAAGCTGCATATATTATGACGAAATACCTATTTTTACTTATCAATTACATAAGAATAATCCTTTTCACTAAAGAACCATTATTCCTCTGGTTTTTTTGTTTTGTTTTGTATTCAGTTTTTTTATGGAATTCTTAACATCATATTCTCGAATCTATGTTCCAAATATTTAAAAGATTGGTATAGTAGTTTACTAGAATACTATTCCTAAAAATTACGTTTTTTCCATTAAAAACAGAACTCAAAAAGATGGTCAAGTTATTAATCAAAACCATCAACGACATCTCCAGAGCTGCAAGTGTCATCAACAGTAAACCAATTGCGCTTATCCTTGCGTAGAAAATTGTATGTGTCACATTCGTTAAACATATTTTTAATGCTGTCTGATGACATACGTAAATGCCATTTCTACTCCCCCTCTGTGTAAATCTTCCATACAGTTTTTAATAAAGTTTCTTTTATGCTGCCTGTAAATAACTTATCATCATTGCTGATATTATAAAAACAATCATTTAGCTTCATTTCAATTGTTAAACACTTGTTGAAGCACATGCTGTAAAATAAATTAAAATAATGTTACGATCGAAAACGTATCTGATAAATACTTTTTCCGACTCCTAAAGCAAACATTTCAAGCACTGCAAGTGCAATAAAACTAACCAAAAAAGTACACACAAATTAAATTTAAAACTTTTTTTTCCAAATCCACATAGCTTTTATTTCATATTATTTTTCATTTTATTTTATTCCTTTGTTAAGTTTGAGCTAACACGCAAAAGGATTCAATAATGAAATTATTTTTTTGTTTATATAAATCAGCTGTTTTTTTTGCTTCATACTTTTTACTAGTACAGCCAGTGCTAGTCAAAACTAGTAATTAAGTTCCATTTCAAATTTAACTCGTTGTGTTCTCTTTTACTAGTTTTTGGTGTACAACTCCTGTACCCCAGTAGTAAAAACCAGTAAAAAATAAACCAAATAAATATGATTTATTATTGTGTATGAAAACGTTATAATACTGCCAAATATTCATATTGTCCGTATATACTTTATGGATTATATATATCAGGAATTCAACTCTGTTGAATTTGAACAGTGGACTGTTCGCGTGTTAACACACAAAACAAATTCAAGTTATACTGGATTCACACGAGAGTTTTGTTTTTAATTTTAGCTGTCATATTTGTAATTTTAGCTGTCAATTGTTGTTGCTTACAATGCAAAATGAAAATTTTTGACAACTAAAATTACAATCAAAATTCAGAATTATTCCAGTATTATACACATTTAGAGTTTTGTTAATTTTTGTTGTTTATTATAATATTATAATAAACAGTTGTACTTATTGCTCTATTTTTAAGATTTAAAGCATAAACTATAGCTACATAAATTTATTTAACTATTATAAATTGTTTTTTTTTATAAATTTATATATTATTGTTTGCAAAAAACATTTCTTGGCAATCCTTTTATATCAGTTACAGGCCTGTTTAAAATTTTGCATATAATCAAATTCTAAAGCGACTGCATATGAAAAAGCAAGGTTACGAAATAAAAACTTTTATTCATATCTCCTAAAAAAATTTCTAATTACAAAACTGTAGGTACTTTTGATAACAACTTAATTCCGAATAGGAAAAGAGGTAGTTATGTGGAATTTTTCAAATCGAAATATTTTATCATTAATCAAGTGAATTCTAGGCTGGCAATAACACTTTTTTAGGTTTTTAACCAAATATTCAATCTTTAGTTATGTGAATTCTTAAGTTATCTATATTTTTGTTATTACACGAACCTTAAAATTAATTTTAATATCTATTTTAACAGTGTTTACGTACAAATATTTTAATAAGTTTAAATTGGTCCTGCCCTCACTTATTTACAAATTTGGCTTATATGTATTTGTTGTCTAAATACTAAGTCGTCGATATTCTAACGCCTACCTTTGCCTTGATAACTGGAATGGAGCTCTAGCTTTTCACCTTAACGAGCTAATAGCTAGAATTTGTCTATTTTTCATTCCTAAAAATTGTGGTTTAAGTGGGTTTAAGTGTCACTGTGATTTTGAATACTTTCTGCCAATCGGAAAAAACGATTTATGTCAGTTTAAGGTATTTCTGCGATGCTTTGAAGAGAAATTGATGTTAAATTACTAAATATGTTTTTAAACCAAATTCTTTTAAAAATGTTAAGCTGAGTTTTAAATCGATTTTAGAAACTTAAAAATAAAGCTCAAATATGCGATGTTAGGTCTATTCCACGAGCTAGTCGTAGTAAAATTCAAGTAAAACAAAAGTAAAGTACAAGTAAAGTACAAACTGTGAGCGTAACACAAATAAAGTTCCAAATTACGCTCTATACAAAGATTTTCATGGAACAGCTTTGTGTAAAGTTTGTTGAAAACACCAGAATTGGTCAAACACAAATTAAGAAAACATTTAGCACTTGGCAGCTCTGTATTTACAGTTTGAGAGGCGCAAGATCTGTCAAGAAAAAATGACAACAACAACAAAATTGTATTCATTTCATATTATTAATCAAATCAAAATATAGTGAATTAAAAAAAATTGGTCGAACGTACGCGAGGCGCTATTCTTTATTACAAAATTGTGTGTGTTAGAACATACAGAATGTTGAGATTTTCTTTAATGAGCAGTTAATTGAATTCAATTGAATACAAAGTTCATTGATGCGTAAGCGCTGGTGTCAGTTTTATTTGGGTTACTATTGGGAACTCAAATTGGCAGAGCGCGAAATGAAAGTGAAATCTTTATTGCTAATCCACACTTAATGTCGAGCATTTGGAAGGTCGTGGAAATCTGAAAGATATAATTGGTAGTCTTATATGGATATTTCTTGCATACCATATGAAGCATTCATACATAAATCCACCGAAAAACTATAGCAAATGTAACTTAACATTCGTGAACTAAAGCCAAAGTACGCTTAAGCCAAAGTTTTCATTTGTAATTCAATGGTTCATATTACAATATATTTAGATTTTTGTGAAATATAACTATATACATATATTTTATGGTTTGTATTAAATTAAAATAAAGCTAATTGACTGATGTGCCCAGCTGATACATGGCGCAGTTTACTTGGTGAGTTGGTCTTGTTTGCTTTGGCAGACAATAAATAAAAAAAAAATTTTAAAAAATAAACACTGCATTAATAATCTAAAATATCTTTTATTATAAATATGTTCATTATTATTTTATTTTAATAACTATTTTGGTCTTATATTTCTGTACGGTTCATATTACTTGTGATGGCATAATATTTCATATAAACATGAATCAGCAAAGAAATTACTAAATTGGATTAGCATAAAATATTCAAAATCATTTTAATTAATTTAGAATATTTATTGTCTAAATTATCAGTGGCCGTAATATTATCTCTATTATGCAAGTTCTTATCAATATGAAAGAATTTAATTGAGTCACTCTAATTTAAATTTACTTTAATTTGTCTTATGCAGGTACAACAAACAGAATAACCCACAGCCCAACGATATCAGTAGGGCGGAGAGCGAGCATGTGCCGCTTTGCTCTATAACAGATGTGCAATTACGTTTTCTAGTGCCCGACGATTTAACGGAGGTAATATGTCTAATATTGCGTATATGTATACCATATATCATATAAATATTATTTGCAAGGTTGTATGATAAAATCATCGATTGCGGTGATATAATATGCATTGTCATTGTCATTGTTAGATTTAGATGCTTGCAAAAAAAGTTTTAAATTGTTTATATTATATAACTTTTAGAGGTCAAAATTCAATATTAAGATATTAACTGTATATGTACTATTTATATATATATATAAATATATTATTTTAAAGAAAATTATGACGTTTAATATTTTAACAGTACGCTAGAATAGACATTTATTGTGTAATAATAGAAATTATTTTAATGAGCACAACTTGCTTCTGTGCAGTTCAATTAGTACAAATTAAAAATTAATTTGCATATTTAGCAAAATAACTTATAGAATTATTTAGGAAAAACGTTCTTAATTATTAAAAAATTTCTGTTATCTTTTCCTATTAACGTTTTTGACAAACAAAGATCTATTAGTTTGCATATATGATAATTATAATTATAAGTTCTATTGTATATTATGTTAGTCATATATATATATATATAATAATTTAAAAATGTTTAAGAGCCAATTTCTATAAGTTTTTAGTTATAGCGAAATCTCTTTAAAGAGCATTTTAAGCTTAAAGCCTCAAGTTTTGTACGATAACATGAATAACACATGGGGTCAACCGGTTTAAGTAGATCCTTGAGATCACCCTTATAACTCAACCGAACGTTTAAAAAATTTAGTTTTTCTCACCGTTTTTAAATATTTTTAATTAATATAAAAAGAAAACACAATTGATTTTATATGTATATAAAATTTTTATAACTTTTCTACTAATTTTTTCTATTATTTCATTTGTTGCATTTTTTAATAGCCTTCCTAAGTTCTTATCTTTAACGTACCGGCATCACCGTTAATTAAATATTATATTACTAAGAGTTGTTAAATTTATTATAACTTAAAATCGTATTTTAAACTGTAAAAATTATTGTTTTTCCCATGGCAATTAAAATTATTGCTCTCTGCTATCAGTTCTTTAACGATTATGGGCTCGTTAATAAGATTTATAAATTGATTAAAATAATATTTTGCTGATAATTTTAATGCAAAACATTTTTCAATAAAAAAAATACACCATATTTTGCTTAAAATAATGTAGTAATTAAATGCATAGAACGTTATAAATATAATTTTTATAATATATACTACTTCAACTTGTTTTATTTAAGGTGAGAACTTTATGTCAGGACTGGTTTCCTATTGATTATCCGCTATCATGGTACGAAGATATAACTTCAAGTTCACGCTTTTTCGCGTTAGCAGCCGTCTACAACTTAGCCATAATTGGTCTTATAGTGGCCGAAATAAAACCATATAGAAATTTAAATAAAGAAGTAAGTTTATTAAGTATAATTGTATAAAAACAATTAAATAAAATGTTTAAATTAATTAATTTTTAATATAGGATAAAGGTATTTTACCGGACTCTATGGGCCGACATGCAGATATTGGTTATATTTTATCACTTGGAGTACATAGAAAACATCGACGAAATGGTATTGGGTCATTATTATTAGATTCTCTGGTAAATCACCTAACGACTGCGGAACGTTATTCTGTTAAAGCCATTTTCTTACACGTACTCACCACAAATCAGGCTGCTATACTTTTTTACGAGAAAAGAAGGTATGCATGCGTCAGCTTTGCACTATTTTAAACTGAATTGCATGTTGAAAAAATAATAAAAATATTAGCGTGTTACTAGGTCATTTATAGATATGTACATGCTTAAATTATTTCAAGTGTTTAGGTGTAGGTGTGTACCTATACCAATGCTAGGACACATCTATGCAAATATTTACTTATGTGAAATATTTATAAATAATTTTATTTTTAGATTTCACTTACATTCATTTCTGCCGTACTATTATAACATACGAGGCAATGATAAGGATGGTTTTACATATGTAACATATATAAATGGTGGGCACCAGCCGTATACATTATTATATCCTTTACAAAAACAAAAACTCTGATTGTTTCTATAATTTATACAAACTTTAAATTTAATAACACAAAGAGCTGTACAGAAATTTACGATAATTCCTTTATTCTTTTTAGTATATAAAATATGTCATCATTTATGGAATACATTTGAGTCTACCAGGTAGAGAAGTAGTAAAAAAATACTACTTGGGTTTTTAAATGAAGAAACTCAATTTTTACATATCTACATAGAACCACTAAATTTAAAATTTTGTGAAGATACACAAATTTTTTTAAACATGAAATTTCGTGTGGCTTTCAAGGAAGTGTATAAGTAAACAAAATTTGTAATAAGATGCAGACCAGTATTGATGAACTAGGGATTTTCACTATAACCGAGTGTTAGATCCTGGATATTCTGGATAGTCTTTACGTTATACGGTCGGAGTGGCAATAATGTGTTAAAAGTGCTTACAGACTGTTTTACCTATAAGAGCACATATATGCAGTAACTTCTGTATATATATATATAGCAAAATGCTGATTTATAGCGGCTTTTGTCGCTTTAATACGTTTAACGAACTCTGCAGAACTTATTGAAATAAGTTCCAGTTTTCCTAAAATTAAGCAAAGCGTGTTTAAACTATGTATCATCGCACGTCATATGTATTCCATCATCATATAGAGTTCAAAATGTTTCGAATTAAAAAATCAATCAACTGAACAACTACGTTTCACGCATGTGGACATCAACGTCGCAGTCAGTATAGCTCTCTTTGCTTTTTTACGTCCGTCAGTTAATATTTTCGTATGCTGAATACAGTGACAACTATTGCAGACCTTCAGCGGAGTAGAGCATCGATAATAGTTCAAAGCTGGAAATGAAACCGGTCAGTTATTTTTTCGATACCAGGTTTTTAGTACACTACTGATCCAATTCAGAGCAAAATATAGCCATGCTTAAAAAGTTTTTTTCTCGCATAATTATTGACAGGTAAATTGTCTCTCAAATAATTATGTGCTTCAACTGCATTTCTAATTCTGATGTTAGCCATTCGACTGCATTTTTTCTTCTAATGTTAGCCATACAACTGCTGTTCCGCAGGAAACACAATTTTAATATTTTCTTAACTTGTTGTTTAGCCTCATGTAGTTGACAAATTTACTCCATCCCGACTCAAGCTAGTTTTCTTCTTACATCCCAGACCTTCTTTCTTTCTTTCACTGCTTTCTTCATTCATTCTTTCTTTCACTGCTTTCTTCATTCATTATTTCCCAAATGTTGCACATAGCAACGTGTCTCTCATCCCATCTGGTCTATTTCATTTTATATGTATTTTATTTGGGTCACAATAATCCGTGCAAAGGCACACGTTACAGGGTATCCTTACAGGTTATCCTCAACAAAAATTTTCTTTATCTGTGGTTTCGTCGCCATATAGTTGTGAAGTTCCTTTTATTTACCAAGGGTAAATATCTTTATTCGTCCCTCATCATTAGTCTTCATTCGTTCCTCACCATTACTCTTTATTTTACCGCTTTCTTTAATTATTTCTATAATGTGTGTCTGTTTTATATTTATTCTACTTGGGTCACAATAACAGCAAAATGAGTTCAAAGGCAGACACTATAGGTATGTTAGCCTCAATAAATATTTAAAAAAAAAACCGCCGCATTATCTTTTTTTTAATTATTCATACAATTAGACATCTATTCTTGACATATTATTATATACTAAAATAAAAATTTAAAATTTTATTAATTTAATGTTTAAATGGGTAATATGATTATTTATTTAATTTATATATATATTTTTTGGAAAAAATTTTCCTTAACTTCTCTGCACAGATCATATAAAGCACTTTGCGTCAAAAATAAGTCTCGCCGGAGGAATGTTGACTTGGATTACCCTACGTTTACGGCAAGCGGTACGCTGGATTTGTCATAAAACAGTTTCGCGTTTCAACTTCGCACACTAAAAGTGCATATACTCAGACACTTAACAAGTTCATAATAACAACAGATCAACCTATATTGTAGATAAGTATTTGAAAAATATTATGTAGAAAAGTAATAGCCACTATATAAATGTAAACAACATAATCATATACATAATAATATAATTATATTGGTATTAACCTTCATTAGAAACATACGTACGTACATAATTACATTGTTAATGAAAAATTGTAATTTATATTAGTGAAGCGAAAAACAATATATTTATATAATACATATAAAAAAAGTAAATTCGCTATAAGTGATATAATTTAAAAACAAAGAATAGAATTAATATGTTACGAGGAAGGTGTTATGAAAAGTTAAGCTTTAATAACGTAAGTGGACTTATGTTCCAATTACTTTTTTATATTTATAATTTTTTTTAACTATAAATTAAATCTATTATTTTAAGAAAAACAACAAACTATTAAATTTTGCGTTATATTATTATTTTTATTTTTAAATAAATATAAAGATATTGGCCTCATTAATTTCTTATACGATAAAGTCAACAAAGGCTAAAATAGATTAAAATGTTAATGGACCAATATATGTAGATTATAATTTCTCTGGTTAGTATTAACTCTCTATAGATGGCTGCCGATATTTCCAACAAATTTATTAAAACTAAAGAACAACAAAGGAATTTATACTGCTATTAATTTAAATAAATAAAAATCATCTTACCTTGTAACATATAATTCATTATATAAGCTAAAGATTTTTAATATTTTATTACTTTTTAGTTAAATTTTTTTTTTTCAGTTCAGTATTTATTTTATTTTATTATAATTTAAATTTGCAATGTAAATAGTATTCGAAATCAAACTGTATTAAAATGATTCATATAAAAATTACTTTTCAGGTATTTTGAAGTACAATAATATATTATTAAAAAATACCATCTTTAATAATAACAACAACAATAACTGCAAACAAAAGTAGCCTTAATATAGTTCAATTTTTTAACTTATTTCCATTAAAAGTAACAAAAATATAAATAATTTAATGTCATTCATCAATTAAAAATTAAATTTGTTTTTAATTTATTTATATAATTTATTATTTTTTTTAATTTGTCAATTTATTTTTATTTTATATTTGAGTGTTTTTTATATAAGTATTTACAGAATGTATAAATAATTAAATAAAGTAATAGCACAATTTTAAAATTTTAGTTTTTAATAGAAAATTTTAAGGAATTGTAATTTTTAATATATTAAAATAAAATAAATAAATAAATTTGTTTGTATAATATAAAAAAAACGATTAATTTTTTTAACAACTCTTATTAATTATTAATTTAATAATAAGAAATAAAAAATTCTTTAACAATAATTTAATTAAATTTATTTAATACAAACCTATAAAGCTTGAGGTACATTAAAGTATTAACTTGTAGCTTTTTCAATATGTTAAAATCATATTGACTTATTTAAAATATCATAAAATTAGCTTCATTTTGATACCTTTTTCCCATTTTTAAATAGGCGCAAGCTTTATCTCAAAAATAAAAAAAAAACAAAGAAAAGAAAGCACCTTGGTACATCAGGTAGATGGCGAGACCAGGTCGTTTGTTGAGAGCTTAAATAAACATACGTGTCAAAACAATCTCTTCCACTACTGGTAGTCCACTACTAATATATCGTAGTGGAAAAACTTGCTCAAAATAGCAGACTCTACTAAAATCCGTTATCAAATCGGCGAGCCTTGGAAATCGGTAAGAAAACTTCTATATGAACATTTTCAAAAAGTGAATATAAATAGGTTTTCGCCTAAATATTAAAACTTGATGCTTAATTTTTGAATATTTTGTTTACTAAACACTTTATAAATTCAATTAATTAAATAAAGACGTGAACTTAAATAATATCTAAAACTATTTTTAATGATTTAAATAATTCATTAAATATTGCCTAGGGCATATGAGTTGCCCTACTTGATTGAATGTTTATAATTATTATAAACATTATATTATAATATATATTATAATATAAACCACTTCACTTCACTTACGTAAGCAGTCAGTGCTGCTTCCGTATATATATTAGTTAAAATACATAGATTAAAACACACCAACAAAACAACGACACCCGCCATCATTTTATCTATTATAAAATGGCAATCCATAGCCACAAAAAGGATCGTGTTTACGACGCAATGTTTGAGAACGGTATCTCTGCAAAGTTAATACCATTCAGCAGAATCTCTTTGAGCAGTATTCGTAGCTCTGTCAAGGTAAGAATAACACTTGCAGTTTTCAAGAAAAAGTTCTTCGTACGGGCCTCTACCCGTTGACGACGACGGACTATACTCACTTTTTTACGACTTTGATATAATTCAGAGAATTAATATCCAATTCAGTGAAGCGATTTCGTTGACTTGGCCATGTCATTAGAAAGATAAAGATGTTCGAACGAAATAAATATTTGAAGTGGTAGTTGGAGGAAGAAGATGTCTTCGATGAAGCGATTAAGTTGAAAGTCGAAGAAGTTGCGCAATCAGAAAAACAGAAGCACGGTAAGGGGTTGTTATCGGCATTTAAGTAAATTAGTAATTTAACAATTATTAAAAAAAAAAAAATATAATTAATTAATTTAATTATTCTACAGCTGGTTTATGATTTCGTTCTAATATAAACACAGCAAGTGAATTTGTTAATAAAACTATCATATCAAAGTAACAAAACTCCAAATTCGAACATAGTCAAGTACGGTTTTGGGTCAGTTGGCTAATGAACGCTGACTCTGAGCAAATTGAGCAGGATATAACTTCAAACCCGCCATATAAGGAATATACTTTTTTATATATATTTTTTATAAATATATTTTTAAATATATTTATATATATCGTAACATCTAAGCAATTGAGCAGGGTATAAGTTCAACCCCGGAATATATTTTCTTATATATATATTTTATATATTTATTTATCAAATTTTATTGTATTTTTAAATATATTTATACATTTCTTAATATATCCGTAGTTCCAAGACCACTGATAATGGGTATTTGGCAATACTCGAAACAGCTGTATGATTAGTCAAAAATTCTATTAATTAAAACAATATAAAATGAATTTTTATTGTTGTAGTTCACTACTGTTCGAAAAACCTCTTTATGTAAATTAGTATATATAATAAAATCGACAGAAATCAGTATCAGCTACAGTTGCTAGCTAAGTAAATGCATTTCTATAACACTGCAAATGATTAAGCTACTTTATAGTGATTTTCTACTTTATTCTTTATAATTGGTTTACAGTGAAAGTCGTCAAGTACTGCAAGTAAATATAGTGTAGACATTTACAATGGCTATTTATAATGGCTATAGACTTCAGCAACATTGTATTATGCACTTTCACTTTTTAACTGAATTCTACAAATTTTTGTTATCAGATAAAACTCGAAAATAATATCCGTTTTTATTTGTGTAGTGTAGACGTCAGTGTAGTCGCCGAGTAAATTGTGCATTAGAAAAAATAAGTTACCTCATAAGATAGTTCTATCTATAGTAACAGAATTTTTTTTTATAAACTTAATTTTAATCCAATTGCATACAATACTATTTTTTTTATCTGTTGCAAAAAATACAGAAACTCAACAAGAAAATAAATAAAATAAGAAAAAATTTTAAAATTTAAAAATATTTTTTAAAAATAAATTTTATATTATTATTGCTGACCCTTCATTATCCTGCGTTTACATTCGCTAGATGTTAGCAAATTTTTTTCATAATCAAAAATAATATGTATTTTCTTTTGACAATTAAATGTTGCTAAAAAATCCGAATTATCTACTGTAGAGGCCAAGTTACTGTCGTTTCAAGCCGTAACCGTTTTTTTTAGTTTTTTTTTTAATAGCCTTAAATTTCAATAGCCTTAAAAACTCTCCTCGTTCGGACGGAAAGCTCCAGACGCTTCAGGAATCACCCTTAGATAATACGTTTGAAACTGCAAGCAACAACCTGTTAGTTGTTATATATACATGTGTAGCTGGAAACTACCGATTGTTTCTAAATTAATATTGCGTCTACATTAACGGGAATTCAGTAAAATTTTTGTGTACTAATATGGCCGTGTGCGAGTACGAGTAAATTGGTAGTAAATTGAGGTAAATAATAAATTATGTCGGTATAGTGGCAAATGTTGTATTTACCAGAATTTCGATTAGGGTAAATTAGATAAAAATTACGTAAATTAGGTTTTATCATTATAAAGACGTTTAATATAATAAATAAAAAAATTTTGAAACATTTAAACAAAAATAATAAATAAGTACAATAAATAAATAAATAAATATTTATATAAGTGGTGTGTAAAACAATCGCTAGGAAATTTCAATTTACTTTATCTCAATTTACCCAAACTCGCACCCGGCTTATATACAATTTCTTATTTGCAAACAAAATTCGAAAAAAATACGTATTGGTTTTTAGCAGTTTATAACGTAGTACATGTGATCAAAAACTGCTATATACATCCATTTTCACACTGCGTCTACACTAGTTGAACTATGGTAATATTTTTGCATATATGCATTCGTATATGCATTTCAACATTCGTATATACATTCCAACATTCGATTCAAAGTCTAGCCAGTGAACTCTTTAAGTTAATATAATAAGTTAACAACTAATTCTATAGAAAAATATGTTTGCATAAGATTTAGTCATAATTTCCATCGGAGTATCAACGTACTTAAGGAGGGCAAATCAGACAGGCAATTGATTACCCTAACAAAAATAACATAAAACACCTATTCGATATAAGTACGTGTAACAATAATTTTTTTAACATAAAAAATACTATATTGAATATATGTGGTGAGAATTAGAAAAATTTATATTATTTACATAGTAATATAAAAATAACTTTTCAATAGAAGAGCAAATAATTATTTATTTATTTAAAGTATAAGTTAAATCGTCTTTATCTAAAGTATAACGTACTCATGATTATCATACTTTACATAATACTCTTTGGTTTCACAAACTTAGTGCGGTAGTACTTCAGTGCTCACATCCATACTTTTCTACTACTCTTTCTGCGTCTAATTTGTAGTATTTATACAACATAACCTTTTTAACGTGCAGGTCAGTAAAGAGTAAATTTAGTTCGGTCAAAATCTTCGAACAGTGAAGGTGTATTTAGTGGTTTGGTGCTTGGATTTTACGTATTATTCAATTTTAAAAAAGTGAAAAGAAAATATATTAATGTGAATAATTAAAAAAATTTAATAGAATTGCACAAAAAAAAAAATTAATTTTGTTTTTAAACATAATTAAAATAAAATCTATACTAATATGCATAAATTTATGTTTGAAACGGTATTTATGATATTGGCTACTACTTGCATATATTCAGCAGTCTGCTACACACCTTCATGTAGAAGAGATGCACATAACAAGTGGGGTGAGTGAATTATTTAATATATACAATTTTTATAATTGTATGTCATTTCTTATTATAATAATTATAAATATAAAGGTGTTACAATAATTAGTTTAAAATTAAGTTTAAATGAAAAACATTTTTAATTTCTATGTAAACGCCCAGCTGTTTGTAGTTTTAAGTCCAATTATACAATACTAAATTCTGCATGTGATTAAGTAACATTTGCTTTAGAAAATACACATATGTCATACCTACGGCACCTGTTTAAAAATTGAAAGAAATCATGTGTTTCTAAATTCGCCGTAGAGTTTTCTTATGTAAATATTTATATTAAAATTGTCTACATGCAAATAAAATTTGATATTCTTGTCGAAAGAAGAAAGTGCGTCAAAGATTTTTCAAGTTCACCTGCATTTTTTAGCATTCATTTGACTTACCAAATAATAGATTTGATTGTTCGTTATGTTATCAATAAAAAAAATGATAACAAAGTATAAATTCATTCTTGTCATAACTTTGAAGAACGAACGCATAATACATAAGCAATGCTTATGTAATTAATTTAAAACAAAATTCTTGGTTGTCATTGCCAAAAGAAGGGTGATTAGATATCAAAACACAAATTTTGTTTATTTTTTTTTTTTAATCTATTTTATTCTTTGCACATAAATTTTGCGTGTTATAAAAAGCTTGATTAAATCTCAGATAAGTTTTAAATAAAAAACGTGTGCATAATTGCAAGATTATAAATGAAATTTGCACGTTGCAAATTTTGGTCGCCAAAAGCAAAATATAGTTGCGCCATTTTAAAATTGCACCTCACAGCATTTGCTGCCGGCTTCGCCATTATCACATGCAGTTTTGTCACGTATCCATTTGGCTAATGGATACTGCGAATGCGATTAATTGCTTTTTTTTTGCTTTTGTTGTTGTTGTTGCTATCGTTATTGATACTCTTTGCTTTCTCACACTTTCAATAGTGAAGCGGCATTTAAAAAAAAAAAATTTCCGATATTTTTTCTATGATACGGTAAAAGCAGGTTGAACGTATCATTAGATTTATGTATTGAAGTTAGAGAAGAGAACTTATGTTAAAATGAAACGTCGCAGTCGCATATTATAATAGTTTATCAATATTCTAATGAGCTAATATTAATGTACTACGTAAGCACTTGTTAATTAAGAACAGTTGAGTAAATGAAAATAAATTAAAGACGAACCGGAATGTTTCGATGTTTGCTTACAGACAAACAATAGCCTTTTTAACGAAAACTGTTGAATAGATGAGATGAGAAGTTTAATGTATTTTTATTTACTAATTTTTATTTATTATGCATTTTTATTTATTATGCATTTTTATTTATTATGCATTTTTATTTATTTTTATTTATTATGCATTTTTATTTATTTTTATT